CTGTTTTCCGGCCATCGCTACTAGTTTATTGAGCAATATACAGGGTTCGTTGAAAGAAAAGTACACGTGTTTACCTTGTCAAAATGAATCACAAACCATTCCGAAAGATAAATGTTATTTTTATGCGAAAAACAAAGGTTAGGTTTTTTTCTTCTAAACAAATTCAAATGTTTCGTATTTGTAATTGCGCTACGATATTCGGAAAACATACATTACTATACACATTATGAAACAAAGCGGATATGTCTATCATCTTTTGTTGCAATTACGCATAAATACGAAATGTTTAAATTTGTTTAGAAAAAACGTAACCCATTATATTTTGCATAAAAATTACATTTATTTTTCAGGAGGGTTTGCGATTCATATCGGCAAGGTACACGAGTGTATTTTGCTATAAAACATCCTTTGAACCTTGTATATTGCTTAATAATTAGTAGCGATGGCCGGAAAGCAGGTGTTTTGGAATAAGCAATTGGACATTTTCATAAACTACTTGACCAATCCACGAATTTGGAGAATTTCAAGTATCTCCAAGAAACCATCGTCGCATTACCAACAAGTGCCAACACTTGTAGTTTGCCTCGGTTTTCGGACATAATTTATGTGCTATTAGTCGGATTTTTTCCCGTGTGGTCTCATTTTGTATGTCTCATAAATACCTGAAAATCTTATATGAAGAGTTTTATTGTTCCTGACAACACTTTCGATTGAATCCCAAAAAATACGTTTTCTCATTCTTTGTTGTCAAAAAAAAATTTGTCCCACAAAAATTCGTGCACCCATTTTATGCGTCCATGTTTTGAATACCCCCTTGAACAACTTGCAGCAATAAAACCAGCCTTTACAATTATTCGGTAAACCAGGGTTATTTTTGTCTAAAATGATCAGACTGTAAGCAATATCCAATGATATATTAAAGACAATTTAAATTTTTGACAGGCACGTCTGATAACCCTTACGATAAAATAAATCATTAGGTTAAGTGTCTAAGTGTCAAACGGTATCAAAGATATTTCAATATAAATAATAACAGTATATTTATGTAACAGTAGGAATTATAAAAATTATTATTTGGAGTGTATTTATGTAACAGTAACAATTTTAAAAATTAACAGTTCCTCTGATTACTGATTGAGACTTAACACTTCATATCTTAGGTTCTACTCCATGTTAGACATAACTTTGTTCTTCGAATGCGATATAATCAGTTGCTGAACAATAAACAAAACCATTCGATTAGCTCCTGTTTATTTTTTAGAGTTGCTCAGAATCTGAGGGAAATTTCAATTATGACATGGTCTCGCTAATTTTCATATTCAATATCATTTACCAGACTATTTTTTCTATCAAAATTTGCCCTGCCTAATTTCGTCCCTCATTTCGAGGGTGGAAAGTAATTACTTCTTAATCACTCTACGCCCGACCTTAGCTACCATTAACGAAGGTAATTTCCTTAACAGCGCATCATAGCCAATTTGACTAGGATAGGCTGCATTATCAACTCTATGCTCGAATACGGCTGAAGGGGATCAGCAGCTCCTCGCTGTTAGACAAAGACTGTATTAACTTTGATCTACTTACAGGTCAATTTCATGTCATACTCTAAATAGACGGCATTGGAGACGCGCTGGTATTGCGACTGCTGTCCAGATAACGAATATGGTGATGCTATGGCCGCTGCGCTAAGCTCTCAATTAAAAATAGTCCTCTTTCATACCAATTTTGTCACAATCATAACTAGAGACTATCCATGACTGTAGAGACTTGAATCTTCTAAAGCAACGTAGACTATGTGACTAAATATTCACTTACTACAAAATTATCCGCGCTGCTTTATTTGGAGTCGGTTTGTATAGTTTAATGGCCACAAAGCATCTGAAAAATTGAATCCCTAGGGTTTAAGCCGTTTGAAATAACACAGAATGACAGTCATCTCAGTTCTCAAATTGACCATCGTGGATTCATTAACTTACTTGTCGTTCCTATAGTTTGACACAACACCGTTTAATTAGCACCAAATGCGCGACGTTTTTTAGTGTTCATATAAAATGTCACCTGGATTTTTTCGGGATTGAAGTAGTTTTCTTTCAGGTTCAGATTTATGTAATTAGGGATATTGTATATTTTGTCTTACGCCGATGGCCGATCAAATATCCGAAATGCTTCAAATTCGTAGTTCGAAACCTGTGCTACTAGTTTGTTAAATGGCAAGTAGATCATCAGGGTTATTACCTAAAAAACCTATATACGAGGGATGTCTTTTAAGTTTTGCATATGGAAATAAAACAACACGGTAGGTAGTTTTAAATGACTTTATTGTTTTTCGAAGTATTCTCGTCGAAGATTAATACACATCTGCATGCGCTCGAACCAATTTTCGAAGCACTTATTCCACTCGTTTGCTGGCAGATCCAAAACGGCATTTTTGAATGCGTCAACGGCTTCTTCTGGTGACTGGAACCTTTGGTCACGCAGTCTGTTTTTAATTTTCGGGAAAGTAAAGAAATCGTTAGGACTTAGCTCGGGACTATATGGAGGATGGTCGAATAATTCCACGTTTTCTTCCGTTAAATACTGCCTTGTTTTTTGGGCTGTGTGCGAGCTTGCATTGTCTGGTCTAGGATCATTCCTCTTTCGGGGTTGATTTTTCGGAGCTCGGTGATGACTTTTGGCAAACAAACGGTGATATACCAATCCACAGTAACAGTTCTTTGCTCATTAAGAAGAATTGTTGCAATAGGACCCGCTTTTAACACCAATGTCGCGACCATCTTTTTCGAAACACTTCGAGTACGGATAACTTTTGTTGGCTCTTCTTCACCTTGGAACACCCAAACAACCGACTGTCGTTTATTTTCTGGTTGATAACAGTAAATACAGGATTCATCACCACCAACAATGCTGTACACATTTTTTGAGTTTCCGGAATTAAAACGGTCAAGCGTTTTTTGACACCAGTTAACCCTGGCTGCTTTCTGCTCTTCTGTCAACAGGTGGGGTATCCAACGAGAAACTAATTTTCTTACTCCTAATTCTTCATGTATCATTTTTTTAATTGAGGGCTTTGAGATCTTCAAGGACGCCTCAATCTCGCGATATGTCGCATGTCTATCTTCAATGATGAGTTTGCGCACAGCATCGACATTTTCCTGGGCGACTGCCGTTTTTGGCGCATCCACCCTGGGATCGTCGCTACGACTCACCCGTCCACGTTTGAATTCTCCATACCAACGAGAAATTGTCGACTGATGTGGCGCTTCGTTGCCGAAAACAGACAATAACTCAGCAAGGCATTCTTGTTGCAATAATTGTCTCTGAAAGTTGTAATAAATTATGGAGCGAAAATGTTCTCGGTAGAGTTCCACTTTTCTAATGACTTGGTGACACTTAAAAATTCACTGTAGTGAGAAGACTGCACGTATTGTTGTGAAACTTTGAATTTAAGTTTACTAAAGAGTGAGGTTAAGATTCAGTACTGACGTTCGATCCGCGCGGCCTACTATGTTTCTATATGCAAAACTTAAAAGACATCCCTCTCGTAATGTCAAATTCGGCGATTGCTTCAAGTGAGCATGAAGTGAACGACGGCTAGTACCAAGTTGGCGCCTCATAGGAAAATCCACATTATGTAACAAAAAAAAAATGTCAAAAAACCGACATAATGTCACTTTTCAAGTTGCGTAGTACCCCTGCTGATCTACTATAGCACCAGAATCAGCGGCATCTAGCGGCCACATTAGTGCCCGGGCTGTTGCGAACGGGGATACAGTTCTTACAAGCAGCATGCTATTTTCACTCTCGCAGTGGTCGATTCTGGTAATAGATGTCACTTAGTGCTGTCTTCACCTTCTACAGTGTCAGTCAACAAAAGGCATGTTATTCATTATTTCGGCTGATTTAGATTTGAGTTTGAGCATTTAACTGTCTGTCACAGTGGCATATTTTTTAATGGAAAACAAAATTATGGGCAGAACGAAACGTTGGCGATTGTTGAAAAAGCATCCAAGATACCGTTTTTCAACTTTGCGTCAAATTCGTTGAATATGTAATTTCACAATTGTTTTTAATGTAATTCAATAACAATTGAATCTTAGAAAACCCGCAGGGAAAGCAGTTTTGTAGGAAATAAAACGACGAACATTATTGGTATATATAAAATACCAAATGAAGCTTTCTTATGATGGAGACAATGATTCTTTGTTTCTTCTTGATTTGACCATGTAATTAATAGTTCAAATAATATATCTTCATTTTATTAAGAAAGTTTCTATTTAATCCGGATAATCAGTTATGATTTTTAGTTAGGGCTTCTTGGTCATTTTGACCTTCCTCCAAGTCGATAGAATGCTATTAAATATGTTTTTGATTTGAATTGAAATGGTCTGGACCTACTACATTCATTATAGTTTGTCATTTTGACACCAGGCCACTAGATGTTTCAAGAAATTGTGAAATAGTTATGAAAAGATCCGAGTTATTCTTAAGAAACAAATGCAAATTCTATTGTTACTACTTTATTTTTTAACAATGAAGGGTAAGTAAAAAAGCTATGTATACAAAATGATCGTAGGTTTATTTTGCATAAATATGTTTTTTTTTTTCGAGAAAGCAACGGTTTAATAGAGTTTACAAAACTCAATTTTCTTGCAAAGGTGAAAAATATTATACTTAACAATGTGTATTTGTCTCTAACTTTTCTAGGTTATTTTATAAAGTGGTGACCGGTAGCATATATACTACTAATAAAGCGCTTAGATCTCCAGCCACAGCGTCCTGTCGCGGTTCTTAGCGTGGAACGTCACCTTATTTGGAGCTATTCCAAATAAAATACTTATACGACAACCGAAGTAACTTTCCCGCTCCGATCCAGCTCTGCGTCCAAATATTCGCGATGAGTCTTAGTAGATCTGCGAAAACTACCTTATGGAGATTCGAAACATTTTTTCCGATACACTTTGTATAACGTGACAGTTACTATGAAGCAAAAAATCACTCACCTTACCGCGGTCTAAACTTCTAATCATTTCCAGATCTGTACTGTCCGAAATTCCACCATGCACTACAAGCACCTTGTTGTTGATTATGGTACCTAGAGGAAGATACCTATACACACCCTCTATCAGCTTCAGCAACTTTTCGTGGTTTTTCTGGAAAGAATAAACCAGATAAAGCTTCTAAAAAGTTTAATCAATCATTTTTGTGCTCATATCTCAAAAGAAAGGACAAGCTGCTTTTGGGGCAATCCACAGAATGCTGCATTGAATTTTTTTATTGCTTAGCAAATATCCTGCACAATTCAAATTATAACAATTTATGTAAACGTTTTTCACTACTACTGTGATTTGATATTATTAAAATGAACCAAGCTTTAGAGCTACGCAAAAATACAGTTAGACGCAATTCCATGTTTCTCAGCTCTTTAGAGCAACCGTCGGCCTTCCGTCTGACTAACTGTGGGCCACGATTTTATTGTCTGAGGGCTATATGCGTAAATATACTTGAAAAAATACATAATTATTATAATGACGTAACTAAATGTATAAGATTTCTTATAAAAATCACTTATCAGTTATTGGTCCCATTTTTTATAAATAAATCAATATAATTTATTCTTAATTCCGCAGTGGTGGCCCTCTTTTCCTTTATTGTGCCACCGTGTGGCCCTTGGCGCTCAAAGGTTGTCGACTGCTACCCTACGCTATACCAGAAATTCATAAAATTGTGTTATATTGTATGTTTCTATCAATTAGGCTGTCTGTGTCAGAATATAGTAAAAAAAAGGAAGAATTTACCTTATACTTGGACTGCACCTCCCGGATGAAGCCGTACCTGAAAAAATGATATGGATCACAACCTTTTCCATCATTTCATTGGGGGAGTTGATATAATCAAATGACAATTCACCAAAAAGCACATAGTTTATAGCCATCGAATCAGAAGCGAAAACGCTGTAGTACAAAGTGCTTCGAAAAATTTCAGCAATAACATGCGGCTGTATAAAAGCTATAATGTCAAAGGTTGCGCTCAACTAGATAATAAAGAAAACAGATGAGCACATGGAGAAAAACCATCTCGCATTCACGATGAGTTATTTGATAGGCAGTGGCCTCCATTTTTCCCTTGATAAGTTCTGTTCGCATGTTAATGAAAGTTTCAAGGCATTGCTGCAGGAATACTAAACAAAGATAGCTTACGTAATACTGCAATAGTCTAGTCGGCTACAGTACACATTTAGTATAGTTCTTAGAAAGTTTGCGCTGGCCCAACATGATTCAAATTACAACACACCAAGCTAGCAATGAGCTTGTTCTCGTAAAGGTACGTTTCCATTATGCTGCTAAATGTGTATTATTCCTGATAAGACAAATGAACGTATTTACACAACGTTATTTATTGTTGCAATGTTTTGACAGTGGCGTGGGACATTGGTAACGCTGGAAATTAAACAAAAAAACCCGAAAATAATTTTTTAAAACTAAACCTGTATGTGACTAGCACATTTACTTCGATACGTCTAATATTTTGTCCGTGCAGAAGTGAAGGGGACACGTTGCAAACTGGAATAGCCCCAGGCACAAGGTGGGGCACATGCCACGGCACATGTTGCAGGCTGCAACATCTTGCCCAATTTTGCCCCTGGGGCATGCCCGCGACATGTTGCAGACCGTTCCCATTCATGCGGCACATGTTGCGGAGCTTTGTTGTAATAAAACGTGTACATTTATTAGGGTTATTCCGAATTGTTTTTGCGAACTCATACAGCGACTGGAACCTAGGTAACTTCAAAAAACGTCTTCAGGGGTACCAGAGTAGATGAAATATCTCAGACAAAATACAGCAAAAATGTAGGTTTGCAAAAATTAACAAAAAGCTGAAAATTGGTATATATATATAGAAGACCTCGAATTTTCAAGGCGAGAACTAACCACAATCACGCGGCCGGTTATTGCCACTTGCTGTGGTACTTCAAGCCCAAAGGATCTACAAAGAGAACATTATCATGCGGAGAAAGGTATATAACAAAAAATAGGAAAATAATGGACAAAATCCGCAAAAAGAATGAAAGTGGATTCGAGCAGAAAATAGGATAGGTAACCCGAGCGATACGTATTTCTGCTGGTTGGCTTCATCAGGCTCGAAATGAATGCACGTATGAAACTACAAAAGTAGATACACATGCCCACACATCCTGATACGGGTGTAACCTGAGGAAACGAAGATGGAGAGGAAAAAAAACGACACCCGAAGTCCACAACAAGAGCCAACCTACACATTGTAGTATAAAATGGCTAGAAGACCTCGAATTTTCAAGGAGACATCTAACCACAACCACGCGGCCGATTATAGCCAATTATTGTGGTACTTCAAGCCCAAAGTATCTACAAAGAGAAAATGATCATGCGGAGAAAGGTATATAACAAGAAGTAGGAAAATAATGGGCAAAATCCGCAAAAAGAATGAAAGTGGATTCGAGCAGATAATAGGATAGGTAACCCGAGCGATACATATTTCTGTTGGTTGGCTTCATCAGGCTCGAAATGAATGCACATATGAAACTACAAAAGTAGATACACATGTCCACACATCCGGATACGGGTGTAACCTGAGGAAACGAAGATGGTGAGGGAAAAAATGACGAATGACGAATAACCGGCCGCGTGGTTGTGGTTAGTTGTCGCTTTAAAAATTCAATGCCTTGTATCCATTTTATACGACAATGTGTAGGTTAGCCCTTGTTGTGGACTTCGTGTGTCGATTTTTTTCCTCTCTATCTTCGTTTCCTCGGGTTACACCCGTAACCTATCCTATTTTCTGCTTGAATCCACTTTCCTCCTTTTTGCGGATGTGTGTCGATTTTTTCCCTCTCTATCTTCGTTTCCTCAGGTTACACCCGTAACCTATCCTATTTTCTGCTTGAATCCACTTTCCTCCTTTTTTGCGGATTTTGACAACTATTTTCCTACTTTCTGTTCAAGTTCTTTTATTCCTTGAGTCATCGCCTATGAGATCAGGTACTCTTCAGCTCTTACGTTCTACGCTCTATATGTTATGTGTACACCATCGACTGTTTGATATAAATATATTTGTGGATGCATTGATGTATGTTACGTAGTTAAATACATACCACTTATACAGGGTGTGTCAAAGAAAGTGAAATCAATTTTTCTGAAGATTATTTCCATGAGCAATCAAAAATTTGGATACAAAACAATTGAAAGCGGAACGCTTGAAAACTCAAAAAAGAAGAAAATAGTATTGATCCGTACCATTATGGTGGTTATATGTTGAAATTACCATTTTTTTACATTTCTCTGGAACGGTACGACTGATCACGAAAATAGATTATACTAAAATTATATGCTACGGCACATGTGTGGTATATTTGTAGTTATAGAGAAATACAGATTTTATTCATGAATACTTTGCACGCGTCTGTTAAATTTTGTTAGTGCTACAAGCATTTTTTTCAAACACCCTGTATAACTAATATATGTATGTTAGTACTGTCGCACATATCGCTGTTTTCATACCTCAGCTTATAAAACGATACATAACGACAAAACATGCCACGTATGCGCTGTAGCAGTAGCAGATCCTATATATTAAAGAACGCATACACAGCGAATCACAAAAATGGAATTGGGCAAGTTTTATAAAGATTTGCATGCTCTGCAATTTTTGTATAAGCTATTCTGTGGTTACATGAACCGTATAAAAAATGTTAATTTTGACATGTAACCTCCAATACAAAACTTCGCTCACCAACGACCGATGAGGACTTTTGATATATTAGTTGTATTAAAGGCATGAAACAATTTTCAAGTGGGTGTGAGTTTTTCCGAAAATTCGATTTCCCTTTTGATTATTTTGAGCGCACCTTAAGCAGAACAGGATGTGTTTGGATGGTACGGTACCTAGTTTTTTGGAATTTCCTCTAGAATTTTTGTTCAAAGTATTTTTGTGGTATATCTTTCCCTTTCAGAGAAATATGACAAAACGTCAAATTTTTGACAGTTTATCCCAAATAAGACAAGGTTCCTCTCCACGGATATATGAGGAGTTTTGACATATTATTCATAATAGTGTAGTCAAAGTCTATATCAATTTGTTGAGGAGTATTTGCAAACCTAACTATTATTTTGACTGTATTAAAAGAGGTTTTGGAATTCTAATGCTCATCTCATATCTAACAGTTAATTTGTCAATTGAAGACACAAGGTGTGATGTAACAAAATCATTGTATGGATAAAATTGACTTTGTACATTTTATTGGGACTTTTTACTTTATTGACATTTTAAATGTTTAGTTTAATTAGTTTGTTATTATCTAGTTTTTCCAACAAAGTAATCACAGAATGAAAAAATCACTCCTCAAGGTTAGTTAAATGCCAAAAAGCAATCCCTCCTTTATCCAGTTGTACGAGTATCTTCAATTTAAAGAATGTTCATGTTTTTCTCCACCACGGTAGATATTATAAGGCACTAATTTTACGTAGTAATATAACCCAAACCCTAGTGAGGCTGCTTACTGTCCTATACATAGCGGGATAGGGTAGCTAATTGGTTAGGACGAATGCTAACAGTATTGCTGTTAGCCTGGACCTGATTTATTACATGAGTAATATCCTAATTAATCCCGTTATCTAGACACCTCTGCCTAATGTGACAGCAATATTAGCTGAAGATATTATTCCACCGATAACGTTATCAAAGCGTCGCGTCCCCGCGTTTGTGAGGCTGCAACTCCAATATTAAAAGGGCCGTATCGTCAGTCGTCCTTACAATCATAGTACGCCTTAATGGCCCCCTTAATTTCGATAACATTTTCTTTGCTCCAGAGAGGCTGGGGTATATCTAGATTTATACTGTCCCGTGTCAGCGTCAGCGTTCTCCTATTGTGAGGCTATGTTTTCTTTTATTACAAATCAAAAGCATGAACAATTTAATGCAAATAGATATTTGTAACATAACCTCAAAATAGAGCGCTGACACGGAACAGTGGAACTATGGAAATCAAGGAGGCTACAATTATTGTAGGAACGACTGACGACTGATAATTGTTTTTAGAATCCCCCTGTATAAAGCTTGAGCTCGAAGAAGTATATCACAATGAAATAAAAGTGGAAGAAAACTGAGGGGAACAAAGTTTTTGCAGCACCTATAAATTGAGCTTAATCTGAGATTTGTATAGGATGATGAAGAGTACTTTCTATAGCGCTAAAAACTTCATCTGATGTTGTTAGAAGTCTGAGCACCAAATCTTGTTAGTTAATGTACAGAACTGTATTATGGAAACATTAAACTGAGCTAAATTATTATAGTGAATATGTCCCTCATGTCTAAAAAATTCCAATCTTTTTGTTCTATCACTTACCTTTGGTTCATTATTATATCTTCATGGTTGCCTCTGTTGAGATAAACGGCACCTGGAATGGCGATGAAGCAAAGTAGAAGTATTAGGAAGACTTCCAAGCCCCGTTTACCCCTGTCAACGAAGTCACCATTGAAGATGTACGGGTTCTCTGCAGATGGAAGTCCATTCTGTAACAAACAGATATATGCATTTTAATAAAAACGCAATGGAATCTGTTCCAAGAGAATAATATACAAGGTGTTTCAAGAACGTTCCTAAAGCAGAAAGTACATCAAGAAACTGTTATCAACATAGGCCCAAAAATGTCTTATTATCAAGATTATCAACATACAGACTGTTGCAAATGTCGGCCCTTCTGATTAGACCCAGTAAAGACAAAACATTAATTTTTTTCAAATAATGATATGGTGAAGCAAAATTTGGAAGGACAGGGTCAAAGTACGATGCACGCCTTTTCAAACTCAATTATAGAAGACCTAATAACGATACACATTATGAGAGTAGACAAAATTTTGTTACAGTTATCAAAGTTTAAGCCCATGCACTTATCTTTAGTGGTTACTGAGGAAATAATAAAGTAGTAGCAAATCCCTGAACTAATTTGATAAAATGAAAGTCTGCAGTTAGATGAATAAAAAAATTACGAGATAAAAGTACCTTTAACTTTTTGTACTTGTTGCTGAGCACATCTGTTATTATGCCCATAACAGTTTCCGCTGAGTTCGACTACTTCGTGTTATTATCGACAATTTTTTATAGTTCTCCCATAGACTCTCGTAATGCCAGCACTGCATTGCGGAGTGTGCTGTATAAATAGCCGTTGAAAGAGTTTTTGGTGCTATTTCGATAGAAGTGTAATGGCTCACGCAAAGTTTACTGCCGCAATTTACAGACTACACGTTCTGATAAGAATTGAGCCCATGCACATAAAAATGTACGTATTGGGTTTTAGCAACCATGAATGAATTTTTAGTACGATTTGGCATGAGCACATCTTGTCAATCGCAACAGCTGCTCGTATTTGTTTAGAGCTGAGAAGTACTCTTCGCATAACATTATCACTCTGTAAGACGGCCTAAATAAAACTGTACTGGACACATGTTTGGGGTTCTGCCGCCCCAACTACATTATCCATATTCCTATACCAAGGAGGGCTGTTCGACTGAACAATGACATTTCTCTGACGGACAGTCTTGGGACCATTTTGCGCCAGGTGGTTGTCGATGTTCCTCTCTTCAAGGGCTATGTCAACAGCCTTTTCTCCTCAGAGCTCTGATCCGCTATGTTGCCTCGCGTTGAACCTGACAGACGGACTCACCAGGCATCTACCTCCCATCCCAACTCTGTTGAACTTCGCACATCGGAACTGGCCGGTACGACCGCACCTTCGTTCTTAGGGTGTAGGGATTGTGGAACATACTGCGCAAGGAGTGCTAAACTTAGGCTGTTCAAAACTCGGAATAACAAGTTCCTTAAAGCAGTCATCTAGATCGTACATTGGCATAAATATCACATTAGTGTTATGGACAGCACTGAAGGGAGTGGCAACATCCAAGAAACCAGTATACGCAATTCCAGATACTAGTGAAGTATTACGTACATGGTACATACAACAACGTACTAAAAAATGATTACACAATAGCGAACATAGAAAAAATGGACCTATTGACTTCATCTTATCTCTTCTGGGTAGAGATTTATCGAACAAAATGAAAAATTAAGTCTTGTAGAACTTAACTTGTAAAGGATACGAAAGATAACGTAAGCAGCGCTGTGACATATTGGTGGAAGCTTCGTGTCTAATAACCAGTAGCCGTGAGCTGCGCGAGTTGGAATCCCGTCCGAGGAGAATTTTTCTCTTGGCTATGGATATTGTAATTGACTTTAGTTGGTAGACTGTCTCGGAGCGTCGGACGTGAAGGTACCACCCAGCGGAACTCTAAGGCGCGGCTAGAATTTGTGCATGTCGCATGCATACTTGTTCCCTCACTAGGTTTGACTAGAGTGACGTCTCCCCTTTCCTCTTTATCCACTTATAGCTCTCTGGTGACTGACTTGAGATGTGTTTAAGAGAGAATCATTTCTATCGTTACATGACACTTCAACACTTCATTATTCAGTATCTTTTACGAAATAAACACGTTGAAAGCAACCAAAGAAAACGTGAAGAGATCATATGCAACGAGCAGGATTATAGTAAATAACCTAACTAACTACATATTTCAGACAGCATAGGGACTTAAGTTTCGATTCATTATAGCTACGCTACTTACTTGTGATATATTCACAGCAAAAGTAAAAAAAAAGTCTAGTTGATTGGAAGCCGCCAGCTAATAACTCATTTAAGCATTTAAGCAACAGTATAATTTTCTTGAATTTGCTTACTATTTGTGTATTGAGGCTCCCTACTTATTCTACTTGTTATTGGTTCAATTTAGTCATACGAGATGCGATATCCTCAGTTTTGGGACACTTTCCATAGTCAAGACTGGGATGGGGGGTGAGATTATTTTCACAATCGATATTTTGGTGCATGTGGTAAGCTATTGTGACAAGGTGCAGTGTAAAACCGCTTTTACTGCCTCTATTAAATAAAATTCGTACGTAAAGTCTAATGAAGGTGGCAAAATGTGATTTATTTTAATGTTTACCAAGAGCATTTATTACTCTAGTAACATTGAGCTTTTATAGGAGCACTGAGCCAATTTAATTTGTATCCGTTCCGGGTAGTGTTTGCTTGGAAGGAGCACAGCCACGGTAATCTAGCATAATGAAAATAGAACAGTTCTCTTGCAAGTTACTCGTAATATGTGCTGCATAACGTAGTAGTAATACCAAAGAGTACTTATACCAAGAGAGAGAGAGAATAGAATGACTTTATAAACCGCTCATTGACCTTGGATTTGGCTCGCAGCAAATAAGGCAATCTCAAAATATTGTAACGATAACAAATAGTTTTGTTGGCGCCATCTTGTGGGAGACTCTCCTACTCGCCAGAGCTTCATGGCCGATCTCTGCTTTTACGCGGACCACGACCGCACAAACCGCTTGGCGACATCTGTGAGGACCGTGGCAGTGACTCGCCTTCTAGATCGACGCAAAGTGACTTCGACGATTCTGGAAGGCCGCTAAGTGGCTCCCGGGATTCTTCTGGACTCAACGATGCGGACTATATAACTCTACGGCCGGGAATACGGTAGAGTAGCAGAGCGGAGTGGAGTATAGTCCAGTCAAAGGCGCGCCATAAGAATTAGTCAGACATAAATGTACAATCTAGTCAAAATAAATAAATTATTGCATATCTTTTTGTGGAATCCAGTGTTTTAATCCACATCCAAAAGAACCCAGAAAAACGCAGTAGGCATCAAGTGAATAAACGGCTATGGATCCGGTCATTAATTTTTTAGCATTTTATATCAACGTTAGCAGTTTGAATTCTTACCTTGTGCAGTATCACTAATAAATCGTCGAATTTCCCATGCAGATCACCGCATATCGTAATCTGTTTTGACATCCCTGTTGAGGCGACATTTATATTCGGTAGCTTCTTCAAACTTGCTATGGCCTTCTTCAGAATGTCTCCTACGTTTTTCGGCGGTAGCCGAAAATGCTGGAAAAAGTACAGTACATATAAAAAATAATCTATAATTGAGGATTCAATATAGTTAGGTACCGAAAAGGATAGAATAGTGCATTACTAAATAAGATCACCTATAAATCTTACTTTTGGATTCCAAACGCATTTAGTTCATACTGTTGCTGAATAACTTGTTGCTAATTTTTTTTGCTACCATGCAGTTATATAAGTACAACCAAAACTGAAAAGAAACCATAAGAAGTTACCTATACTCACTCGATGTTTTCTGAATATTTCTATTAACTGTAAAATGGCTTTTTCTGTATAAGGGTATTCTATACTAAAATGTAGCAGCTTCCTTTTTTCTTCCGGATCGTAAATTTCATCGTCTGGTGACTCGTCATTAAAGTCCAGATTTAGATTTTCTGGAACCCAAATAAATCCATTAATCCGGGACCACCGAAAAATGTAATATGATATATTAATCGTTAAAAACTTAGCAGGTTAAAAATTCAATTATGGACATTCCAGTTAGAAGACAAGGTCAATCAATCACTGGGTAATCCGAATGGGGTGCAAAACGGAATAGATGAAAATAATTTGATATACAGAGTTGTCTCCATCAACATATCTCCAAACGTCTCAAGAGGAAGTCAGTATGATGTATAATCATTCATTAATAAATGCATATTTTGCGGTATATGGGACCTTAGACTTTAAGTAAATGTTGTAATAATGAGGTATTCATTCTTTTGCAAAGCGTGATTACAGATTATTCAATCAATACCATAGTCTTCAACAATTACGAATTATAAAAACTGAAGCTACTAATAAGTTTGTAATCCTTGTGTTGTTTACCATTTTTTAAAGAGCAGCTGTGATTGGGTCCCTGTATATGTATAAAGTGAATCTTAATTAAGAGCTTAAATTGAGTCTGAACTACTCACCAAATGAAGAAGCTCTAGAAGTTTCAGTGGAATCATATTCTCTGTCTGATTGAGGAATGTGTGTAAGTAATGCATTGAAGAAGTTGTATAACTGCAACAAAAGATAAAAATGTTAAAATTGATATAATTATTTCAGACTTATCTTCCATAGTACAGTTCAATAGATTGAGGGTACGTGATTTAATTTGTAGATTCATAGTATTAGAATGAAAATATTCAAGCAATATCTAAACACTATTTAAGCGCAATTTTTACAATATCGTGGAGTCTTGGCGAATCTTCGAGCTGATGGAATAAACATTTGTAAAAAGTACGTTGGAATCTATGAAACCAGTGATTTTCAAGGCTTTACCAGCACATACCGTGTAAAATTGATTGGAGCAATAAACAATGCTCCGTATATTTGTGCAAAATGAGCTTTACAGCGCATATACTCCGAAACCACTCAGCCTACGAAAAATGCTAAACACATTAATTGTTTGAACGTTTCTCGGGTTCAGTTTGTTGTAGAATCAAGTTCCAATTGACCTGGAAAAATTCTTTATACTTCCCGACACTCAATCCGGTTTTAGAAAAAATTATAGTACAACATCTGCCCTACTCAATCTGCAAGACAATATTTTAAGTGCCTTAGATAAGAAAATGGCCAAGCGTTAATCTCTATAGACTATTCGAAAGCCTTTGACAACATCAATCATAAATTATTACTTGCTAAATTAGATTACATAGATCTTGACAGTGTATCCCTTTCATTTTTCGACAGTTACCATCATCAAAGAGCTCAGTGAGTTTTTCTCCTCAACCAAGAAATGTCTCAAGTGACAATAATTCCCTCAGGCGTACCTCAGGGCTCTGTATTGGGGCAGCTGTTGTTCCTCATATATACGTTCGACTTAAGCAAAAGTATTGATAATTCTCATGTCCAGTCATTTGCAGACGATACGCAGTTGCTCCATTATTTTAACCCAGATTATGTCAATAATACTATTCAAATGTTACAAAACTATGTTAGTAAATTAATTAAATACTCTTCAGATCACAATCTGCTTATTAATCCACAAAAGTCTAAAATGTTATTATACTAAGTGACATATAAATCCGAACACCCAGTTTAAATGGTTTTATTTTAATAAAATTTTGTATAAGTACTTAATGAAGCATAATAAGTAAATGATAAAAATTTCAAAATGATTGCACTGCTTTAAAGCCCTTTGACCTTTAATAATGTGTGGATGCACCCTGATGTGCTACGCATTCTCCAACGCGCCTAGGCATGCTTCTGATCAGGTGGTCAATGTCCTCCTGTGGTATCTCATTCTAGGCAACCACCAACTCCTCTCGAAGTGCTTCTAGAGTCTGAGGAGGACGTTGCAAATTGAGCAATCTCCTACCCATCATATCCCACACGTGCTCAATTGGGGATAAGTCGGGAGATCTTGGTGGCCATGGTAACAATGTGACATCATTATGTTGAAAGAAGTCTATTGTGACTCTTGCAACATGTGGTCGGGCATTATCTTGTTGGAACAGTTGGATCTGCCAGGATGTCAAGATAGGGTAAAAGATGGGGTTCTAGAACTTCGTGGATATAACGCTGCGCGTTCATGTTACCTCTGATGAAGATTAAAGGTGACCTGGAACCATAATCTATAGTACCCCAAACCATAACTCCAACAGTGTGATGAACATGTCTTTCAACAAAAAACTGTGGATTCCTCCTTTCACCACGTCGCTTTCTAACCCTGGCACGACCATCGTGCATGCCTAAACAAAATCGAGACTCGTCACTAAAGACAATACTGTTCCATTCCTGATCCCAGAGTGACCGTTGTCTGCACCACTCAAGGCGATTACGTCGGTGTTCTCGAGTTAAAGAGAGGACCCAGTGTGGCCGGTATGAAAACAAGACTAAACTTCTCAATCGTCGGTAAACACTTCGCATGCCAATAGGTCTTCCGTGTTCTGCAAACCATTCATTTGCAATGGTAGTGGAGAAACGGTCCCTTAAGGCCAATAATCTTAGGCGGCGATCTTCACGGTCTGTTGTTCTACGGCAGCGTCCAGTGCCCCTTGCTCTTTGCGTACGGCCTTCTCGAAGCCATGCCTGACAACACCTAACCACAGTGTCTACACTTCTTTGCACTCTAACTGCAATTGCCCGAAAAGAAAGTCCAGCTTCCCGAAGTCCCACTATACGGCCACTATCAAACTCACTAAGTTGACGAAATCGTACAGGTCTCCGTACTCTAGGCATCGTAACCGATCGTGAAGGATGTCAATAACCAAAATCCGCCAACGTTGATTCTTTACTGCGGCTGAAATATTCATGTTTAGAGCGTTAGTGAATTAAAAAAAAAGCAGTATAAAAACCGGAATGTCCAACTGATAAGGCTGAAAATTTTTTCACTTGTTATTTACAGTAAGATAAATACATTCACCAACTTTTATTAAAATAAAACCATTTAAACTGGGTGTTCGGATTTATATGTCACTTAGTATATTTTGCACACAAAGAAAAACATACAATGTAACACAGCTCTTGAACATTCAGATAAATAACCAAATCTTGCATTTTTCTGATTCTGCAGAAACTCTTGGTGTTGTTTTTGATACAAAATTAAGATATATTGAACATGTTAAAACTGTTTCCCAGAAAACCTACCTACTGCTGCGTACTCTTAAAGCAGACAGGTATTTACTAAACTTTAAGTTGCGTAAAAAACTATTTGAAGCACTGGTCATATCTATACTAAATTATTGTAATACCGTATACTATACTTGTTTAGACAATTTCACCAAAAACGTTATTCAAGTTATTCAAAACAATTGTATACGTTTCATCTTTGGCTTACGTAAATTTGATCATATATCAGCGAAATATCCGGTTCTAAACTGGTTAAAAATTAATGACATGGTATCACTATTCAGTTTTTGTTCATAAATTGCTGCTCACGTCTAAACCCTCTTACTTGAGGGAAAACATTTCATTTAATAATGACGTTCGCTCTAGAACTCTCAGAGAAAATTATATTGGAATACTCCATACGTCTACACTTTTTAAACGCAGTTTTTCTTACAATGTTGTTATTATTTATAATGACCTTCCTAAAGTATATAAAGAATTTTCATTACCTGTCTTTCGACAAAAAGTTAAAACATTATTATTCAACCCTCCAAATATATAATTTACGTAATCATTCATTTCTTTTTTATTCCGTCTTTAATTCAGGTTAATAATTTTTTGGTGTACTTGGGTTTGGAAAGTATGCCTTTTTTTTATTTTTACTTTCGATGTAATTAACCAAATCTGTTTGTGGATAGTGTATACTTTTAAACATCTGCTAGCGACTATATGGTTAAGTGTAAGAGTAGCAGCATGCTAAACTTCGCCATGTAAGTCTAACATTTGGCTCTACTATAATGTAATTGTGGATAAATAAAGACTCCTATTATTATTCCGCAGCTTTTTTCTGCTGGTATATTTTGGTTGGAGGATGTCAGGCGGATATCGTCTCAACCAAAGGGATGGCACCATTTCTGGAAGACGGTATTTATTCTAAGTACAAAAATCTTCGGGTTATATGGCATGTGTTCAGTATTACTGCTTTCTGCATCTGTTGGTAGATATAAGGTTTCAGGTCTAGCTTTTCCAGGGATTTAAATAGGTTTCGTGGTGTAGTTCCCATATTAGATAAAACTATCGGGATGATTTTGACCCTGTCCACTCTCCATAGGTCTTTTAATTCGTACGTGGTGAGGTCGATATATTTATTGATCTTCTCTGCAAAGGTATTCCCCATGTTTGTGTCAGGACCTCCCGTTCCTTTTTCTTCCATATGGTGATATCTGTATTATTATGAACTAGGCTCTGTCTCTAGGCTTCTGTCCCAGTAAATTTCGTATTTTGTGTTCTCTAGGATCGTTTTAGGTTGATATTGGTAGTACCTTCTTTTTTCTCCAATTAGGCCGTACTTAAGAGCAAGCTCTTGGTGGATAATTTTGCCATCTTCGTCATGTCTTCGTTCGTATTCTGTTTGTGCTATAGTTTGACAGACTCCTTTTATATGGTGTATGGTTTCACTAGTTTGATTGCATCTCCTGTATACATCTGATTGAAGATCTTTTAGGATATATTTCCTATAATTGTTGGTCTTTATGATCTGATCTTGGATAGCCAGCATGAAGGATATAAGTCCCCACGGCCTAGCCAGTTGTGAGACGCTTGTTTATCTACATAGTCTTGGCTAACTTCATAGGTATACCTTCCATGCAGAGCTTTCTGTCGTCATTTGATCATCTTTTCTTCATCTGTTGTTATTCCAAGTTCTTTGTTGGTATCACTAAGTTCTGGTTGTGTGTATCTGTCTATCTGTACGATTGCTGTGTAGCAGTGCGACTGAGGCTACCTCTGATAGAAATATTGCCTTAATTGCAATATGGTTTTATTGTGCATGTTTGTTATGTCCGTCCTTTTTTTTAAGTGTTGTTCGTTCTACTGCCGATTTTGGATGGAGAACCCTGTGTCCAGTCATTAATACATTCGTCTGTGCTTGTATATCTTTCAGTTCGGTCTGTGACCATTTGAGTTCACCAAACGTGTAGGCTAGTAGTGGTATGGCGTATGTGTTGATACCGTTAATGAAGTTTTTGGCATTTAGTTTTGATTTGAGTAGTAGATTGAGTCGTTTATAATATTTTTCCCTAATCACACATTTAATTGTTTTATGATCTGTTATTTTTTTTTTGTAATATTCCCAAGTACTTATATGTATCAAATTCATTCATGGGATCAATTGAAGGAAATTCGGTACCTCCCAGTTTATTAGTTTTCTGCCTTCCTTTAAGTACAGTTTGTGTTCTGTATTTTTTTAGGCCAAATTCCATGTTTATATCACTGGAGAATATTTGTGTTAGTTCCAGCAGATGTATCAGCCCTTGTTCTGTCTTAGCATACAGTTTGATATCATCCATATATAGTAGATGTGACAATGTATATTTAACCTCCTTTTGGTGCTTAATTATTATTATTATTATTATTATTATTATTATTATTATTATTATTATTATTATTATTATTATTATAAATAGGTTGA